CACACACACACACACACACACACACACACACACACACACACACACACACACACACACTTTTCCCCTGGGACCACTGGTGCGGCTGCTGCTCCATGTCTAGGAGACGAAGGGAAAAGGAGAAGTGAAAGAAGAAGGAAAGATAAGCAGCTACTGAAGGATGGCCCATGACGAAATGATGCTCTGAGCAAAAAATATAAATAAGAAAAAAATCACCAGCTCTGCTGCTTTCTTCTTCCTCCTCTTCCTCTGTCATCCTCCCCTTTCGCTCTCTGTCCCATCTTGAGTCTCACGTCAGGTATAGTGTAACTTTAAAAGGACAATAAACAGAAAGCTGACTACAGAACAAACCGATACTTGGAGCAAACAAATACACAGAAAGCTCGGCTGTCTTTGTCTCACACACACACACACACACACACACACACACACACACACACACACACACACACTTTGAATTTATCTTGTCACAGATGCACAGATACACGCTTTTCCTCATCACTGTCTGACTTTTGCGTACACACACGCAGACAAAGACTTTTATTGCCCCGAGGCTTGAATTAGTGTCAGTGTGTTTCAGATAAAAGCTTTAGTATGTGCTGGACCCGTTAACTCCAAAATGCTGGTTAAAAAGGACAAAACAAAGTCAGGGTGAAAAGAAAGAGAGGTAGGGATAAATGGAGAGAGAGAAGAGGAGGTGGAAAACAGGATAAAGTGAGCCTTTCACATCTTTTTATTCGCTGCAGCGCCATCCCCAATTCTTCACGGTATACGTGAACGTCAGGAAGATGTGTGTGGAGGGGGAGAGAGACAGATAAAAGTAAATAGAGAAGGAGAGAGGGAGAAGGAGGAACTGGCGGTAGAGGGGTTAATGCAGTGCAGATTGACAGAAGTTAGCAGCACCCAGAGGGAAAGAGAGCGGAGAGAGCAGGGGGGGACTGATATAAAATGAGTCGGTCACGCTTTGAACAGTTACACATGCTGTTTACATTTTTCCCAAATTAACATGGCCCCTCGCTTCACAAAACTCTCCCTCACCGGCTCCCTCGTGCTCCCCTCCACCGACCCCTTTTCCTCTTCCTCCTCTTCTTTCCCTCCGTCTGTCCTTCAAGGCTCCAAAATATCTTCCTCACTTCCAGATCAAAACTTAAAAAAAAAAAAATTGCAGTAAAACAAACAAACAAAAAAAAATCTGTCTTTTATATCCTATTAAAGTAACCAATCGCCAAGTTTTAGTGTATGTGTAGCCAGTATTTTAAAGTTACAGCGGTTCTTTTAGGTTTTTGTCACATTGAGCGACTATTTAACAATGCGTCGTATAAGAGAAACGCATAAACACTTCAGCTGGAGTGAGTAATGCGCAAGGGAAGCCGAAGAATGCATATAACTGAGTAAAAGGTTCTTGACAAAGTGGCGTAAATTGGTGAATTTACACAGGCGCATACACACAGATACAAAAACCCAGATGATACAAGAGTCAAACTGCTCAGAGCACAAGCGATAATGATAAGGACCCGTATTCCACCAGCACATGGGTGTTTCTTTAAAGAGAATCGGTGTATGAATCTAAAAGATAATATATAGGGACAGCTGTCGAATGGATAAATTAAAAGGTTGACCCTAAGCTGACCTTAAGGGTATAGAAAGTGTATAGAGGCACTTTCAGGAGGTCTGTTATCGACAGTTGTGCCTTTTAATCTGTTAGTTATCTTCCGAAAGACGAAGGTAAGGACTGTAAATCCCTTGTTTTGCCGCTATTATTTTCCCTCTCCTGTGAGATGATAAAAAGCGGTGAAGCTGGAGAATTTAAGAAGCTGGAAGTAGAGAATATTTAGCATTTTTTCCTTTGTATTCCCAATCCTTTTATACTCTTCAGTGCTACCTCGTATTTCGATAAACAGCTCCGTATTTCCCACCTCTGCTCTTCGGTTTTCCATCAAGGCCGTAGAGGAGCAGGGGAGTCTCGATTCAGCAGCGGATTCTCGTCTGATTCTGTTTACGGGGTGTTTTTCTAAGCAAAATCTGTGAGTTTGGGGATGGCAAGTGGTGGGGGTTCGAGGTAAATTAAAAACTGAAGGTCTGACAAAAAAAGAGGGAGGGAATGAGAGATGTTGATGGAGGGAACGAGTGGAGCCAATTAGTGAAAGGAAGAGAAGGGAAAGGTAATTAGGGATAGAAAGGAAGGAGACTTTAAAATGGAAGTTTGATGTTTCAGAGAGATTTAAGGAGAGAGTGGTGGAGATGAAGCGACAAAGAAATTGAAACCAAACATGGCGATAAAGCATGGAGCCACTGGAATCCAGTGATATAAAAAAAATAGGAGGGGGTAGATTGGCTTATAAGGAGAAGAAGGAGACAGACAATGAGGCGAGAAGCGCAGCCGAGCAGAAGATGTTGAGTTTACAACTTGCGAGAAATGGTTGCAAAGAGAGATTCTGGGCATGAACATGATTTTTATTGGATTTTTTTAATGTGTGTTTTCTTTTGCCTTTGTTTTGGGGGTCATTGATGTTGTTTGGCAACCCCAGAGTGTGTCCAGTGCCAAGAGGATCAATTTGAAATTCACCATGAACAAACTCCAGAGGAAGGAATCTCATGAGGGAAGGGATGGGAAAAGTTTGCACATGTGTGTGTGTACTTGACTATGAAAAGGTTTGTTTATATGTATTTCTCTGTATAACGCCTGTGCATGCACGGATCTACACTCCAGTGTGCAGTCTTTATACATGTGTGTGTGTTGAGTTAGTGAAGGAATGCACATTTGATTGAGTACAGACTGCACATAAATCTGGCCTTTAACTGTACACAGATAGACAAAACTGACCCCGACCCCAGAATGTCAACCTTCTGTCCATCTGGCCTGTGTCCCCCCCATCCTTTATATCAGTAAGGCGATGCATGGCTTTCCCCCTGGCATCCACTGGTGTGTTTATGTTTTTTTGTATATGTTGTGGCTGAGGACAAAATTGCCACCAGGTACAGTGCAGCCGAATAGTTTAAAACAATGGAAAAAGCAAACAGCTCTCTGATTTTTGGCTCGGATGCTTCCTTTCTGTCATCAGAGCCACATTGAGGCTCCAGCTCAGCCTCTGCCACGTTAGCTGGAAGACAACAAGCGTACAAGACAAGGCAGAGGATCCGTTTTTCATTTAGTGGCTCCAGGATGTGGATTTCAGTGAGCACATATCGATAATTTGTGAACTTGTTGATGTTGGCAGTGACGCCCACGCTCACAGTGTCTGATGAGGGCTGTAAGACTGAGCTGGAGCTTGAATTTGTTCTGCATTCATATGATGTCGGCAGGCTGGGATGGACAGGAAACGCTGGGGGCGGCTGCGGCTCAGGAGGTAGAGCCGGTCGTCCTAATAAGAAGGGAAAGAAACGTTTCTTGGGAAAGATACCCATCCCCAATTTGATGCATCCATCTGTGTTTGAGCTCGACGAAGTGCTTAAAGTTAATAGAGTAAAGTGTATGAATGGGTGAATGCGGCTTTTAGTATAAGCGCGCATAGAAGAGGTCGGTAAGGCTAGAATAGCTTTTACTATTTGTTCCATTTTTGCAGTGTTATTTTATTATGTTTTTGTGGTGTTATTATTTGTAGTGCTGTCCTAACAAATGGAAACAGTATGATTTTAGTTTACTTTTGTTTAATTAATTCTATTAGTGTTCGTATTAGGATTATTTAGAAGTCCCTGCCAATGGAGGAATTACATCTAAGCAATTGTTCCCAGATGTTAGCGGACTGTGTTGTTGTTGTTTTTTTGAGCTGTCAAAAGTTTCTGATATCTCTGACTCAGAATCACAATCATTGGCTCACATGAATAGTATTTGCAGGGTCTGCTGCCTGGTCTGATCATGACGTGAGTCCGGTCATTTTAGCAAATATTGAACAGATTATATCGGGATATCTTTCTTAAAGTCTGGAGAGAAAAAAAGCATACTAAAAATCAGTCACGGAGCTGAAATATAACCTCAATATTCCAATCACGGATTGCAGCAAAGTGGAAAATATCTGGAAACATCAGTTATTTCTGTCCCTAGTGATGTTTGATATTGTCCTCTGGTGGAGTAGAGGAATTCTTCACAGCGACTAGATACAAATAATGTGTGACGAGTGAGGAAATTAGCATCCATCTCTGGATTTTGGTTCAGGAAAACATGGCTTGGGTTTGCAAAAGGTTAAATCTTGTACTGTACACACAGCACTTATATGTATGTATGCACATGACAACATCCGATCCTATCCAATCAGCATTACACAGGAAATAATAAACATCATGAATCTAGAGCTGATTTACAACATCTTCCATGTACTTAGGTTTCATCTCTGTTTCAGACCTCTTTCAAGTGGTTAAAGCGATGGAGGGCAACCTTTTTTGGCACCCGAGTGAGTTTTTCCTGGACCAGACCGGAGAGATTTTCTTGCACATGGTTTTCCCACAATACCAAATTCTGTTTAAGTGCTTGTTTAAAACCTCAAATGGTGATGCATGCTGGGAAAGATGAAATACCAGTCCTCTCAGATGGAAGCGACACAACACCCACAAACACTGGGTCACTGGTTTACCAAAACAGCGTCTGGAGTGTAAAATGTCAAATGTCCTTTTATCCTTGAACACATCCTTGCGCCCTAACATTCAACTCTGAACCCTGACCCCGTGTTGGTGTTTAATTCTGAACTATCTGGAGCGCACAAGCTCTGCTGCCAGAACCTCACGTTCAGCTCTGCTCTGCAGATGGCAACCAGACTCCAGAGCGCCAGAACTGACTTTACACCGGCGAACAAACTGAAGATAAAAATATGATCTGTTGCAAATAAAGGAGCCCCCCCCCCAACCCACCTCACCCCATGTGTGCATATGTGTAACTCTAATAGGTACATGTGTGTAGACTCACACAAACAACTGCGTGGAAGCAGGTCACGGTCGGCCGTTGTAGGGAACTCCTGTGTTGCTGTAATGCAATCCTCCCATGGAGAATGTTCTGGTTTCAACCCTGCCCTGCGGAGTGTGCTTCCACTGCCAGGTACACAGACACAGCCCCAAGCCTACAGGGCTCGCCTTGAAGTCAGGCTATATGCCGACTATACTGCCGTTACTCAAGCTAATATTATATAACGACAACATGGCTTTCGGTTTGAGTTATCTGAGTTTACTTGTACAAAAGAGCGGTTGTTTTTAGCGGCAGCAGAGGCCGCTTTAAGACATGTCAGTGCTCAATCAAAACAACAAGAGCCTTTCACGTCTGGCAATCATCTCCAAGCATGTGGCTGCAGACAAAAGGAAACGGTTTGGAACAGTTTGGGTTGATTTTTGCCAAGAAGATTTTTCCTCCTTCATCCCAGACTCCTTTTTTCGGTACCTGTTTATTCCCTTTGAAAATGACCCCTCACTGCACACTGTGAGCCCTTGTTTTCTTCAAGCTTGTTTACTTCAAGAGTCAACGATGTTGTGTTGGTTTCGGGGTGTTTTGATGCTAATGGGGGATGTTCAGTGGGAGGAGCCAGCTGCTTGATGAGCTCCAAATGTTTAGCCGTTGCTGAAAGATGCTTAGTGCCTCTGACAGGTGACGAGGAGTGAGATGGAGGCTTGGCTGAGAAGGGTTGCCCTGGATGACTAACTTCAAGGTGTGTGTGGGAGTTGCCATGGGCTCAGAAAATAGTCTGGGAAAATGCCTTGATGTAGTCGGCAACTTGGGGGTCAACGGGTAGGGGAAGAGTCACCTGGTGTGAAAGAGTCTTGTTTAATCAAGCAGTTAGGGCGTTGTTTGCTTAGATTTTGCCCTGTCACTCAAAGCATGACACACATTTTTAATCCTGTTTTAATTTGAAACTGTCTGTCATCTGCTATTAAGTGAGGCTATAGTAGAAGCAGTTGCCATGTCACAGTGCTTTTTTAAAAATGAATCAAATTAAGTAACATAATTAATCCTACTTGTTGCTGTATTCTAGTGGTTTGTTTTTGTTTCCGATTTTTGGGTGAGTCATAACTAATCACTTACTTATTATAGAGAGCTAAATCTCTTCCTCAGTGCAGTTATTTCTGGGATGCTTTTGCATATCACTCAGTTTCAACCCAACCCTGTGTGGGAGTGCATCCTGATATGGCAAATATGGTGAGTCAGAGAAGGAAAAAAAGGTGTTGACTATTTAAAACCGAAATCATTTATTTATTTATTCTATTTTATTTATACCCAAGTGAACGCTAGGGGTAAATGTTCTGCAGGGTGTTGAAGCAATTCCCTCAATTCTCAAGTCTCATATTAGTCCTGTGGGGCCCCCGTAGTGAAATATCAAAGGGAGAGAGAAAAGGGAAATTGAGGAGCAGGCGAGCTAATCAGGGTTAATTGTCTGCTGTTATTCCGACCTAAGGCATGCGAGAGATAAGATCGCTGAGAGGAGAAAATGAGGATAAAGGTATGACAGGGAAGATAGGAACGCTGGAGAAGAGTGTGACTAATCTAGAAGCAGAAAGGGATTGCACTGGTCAAACAACAGGAGGCTTGAGGTGTGTCTAAGACAGAGGAGATTGAGCATAAGAGAGAAAGCGGACGCACACATGAACACACACACACACACACACACATTGTGCAATGCATATTTCACACCTGTTGAGCAGCAGCACGGTTTGCCCATAATTACAAGCATGAATCACGGCCTGCCGTCCGGGTGTCAGGAGGATGGAGGGGGGGGGGAGAGGATGATGGAGAGCAGAAATGAAAAGAGGAAATGTTTGCAGGGCTCCAATGAAAGGCTGAAGCAGTGCTGAGAGAGTGAGTTAGCGAGCAAAGGAGAAAGTGTGAAAGTGTCCAGAGAGAGAGCGCATGGGACGCAGAGAAGTGGACGTACATGAAGTTCCTTAATGTTGAAAATCACCTTTCAGCTCCAATTTTCCAATTTTCTCAGTTTGAAACCAGAGACAGGGGCACTGAAAGGTTTCCACTCTTACAAATACACTGCCGCCCCCTCTCTCTCTCTCTCTCACACACACACACACACACACACACACACACACACGCACACACAATCATTGTATACACTCTCAGCAATGCGAATTTAATCCACATATATAATTACGGCTACAAACATTCTCACAAACACTCACACAGTAACATGAAACACCTACACAAACACTCTGAAACCTAAACAAGAAGTCCACAGCAAACATACAACCCATACAAACACATTAATGTTTGTGATTGTAAAGAAAGCCACATGCCTTTGTTTTCGGGGTTATCGGTCAGGAATGAAAGCGTGTGTGCGAGAGTGTGTGCACGTTCAGGCGACTGCTGTCCTGACAGACTGCTGCATTGAACATAGGAGCCATTTGTCTGACTGTCTGAAGCTATTAAACAAGGTTTTATTTGAAGCCAGAGTAAACCTCCGACAGCCAGAAACCTCTAAAATTAGATTGGAAACGGAAAAAGCTTTATTGGCAGTGTCAGATGACTCTGACCTGGCAAAATGTAAACAGACAAGGCCATCGTCATAGAGACAAAGGAATAAACTGGAATATTGTAAAAAAAAATTCCTATAAACAGTGTGATGCGACCGGAGAAAAGCTAGGAAACTGTTGCTGGAGGTGATTTTCTTTTTTTCTGTTTTTTTTTTTTTTTTTGCTTGTTGAGCTCCCTATCATCAAAATTCATTTAAAAACTCATCATCCAAGTTAAATAATGACAACACGTCTTAGAAAATAAATTTCACCTCTCTGTTTTTACGGCAAATACCTCTACAGCGTAAGCTATTTAACGCTTGGACACCCAAGACGTGAAAGTCATTAAAGACACATCTCACAGTGTTTTCTTTGTTTCTCCATAGTCGAGCACCAGCTCGTCTTGCTATTGGCCGCTGCCATGGCCACCGCCGGGGATGCTCTCCACAACCTGGCCAGCGAGAGGAGTTCGATACAGAGCACCTATGAGCTCACCAAGTACCTGGAGTATCAGCTGAAAGAGATCAAAGACGTATATGTGAGTAGTTTTGTGATATGTTCAGTCTTTTACCAAAATGTCTGCATCAGAGAAAAAAAGTAAATAATTTTCAAATAGGAATGCATATGCATGAAATACACAGGAATAAATGAGAATGCTTAAGCAAAACAGCTCAAAACTCACAAATGCACTATTTATCATAAGAATGTATTTAACAGTGACGATGAATATGATCCTTCACAACAATGAAAACGATAGATAGTTAGTGAACATCTAGCAGATAAAGAGCCACATATCTGTTATGGTTCCTTATGAAATTATGGTGAAATTACATGTCATTAAACAGGCACTTTAGCCATTTGCAGTAACTCGCTTGCAGTTAATGTTCATATTCACACTGTGGACGTTTGTGTAGTTAACAACTGAAACTGCACACAATTTTTGGCCAGAAAGTCCAGAAAGTCCTCAATATGGACAAAAACACTGGGCCAACTACACATTACATCTACAGAAGCAACTCAGGCTATGGAAACTGATGCCATGAAGCACCAGGTGCACAATTTTTGTACTGATTTTAATGTCAGAGGAGATTCAGAGCTCTGCATTTATTTACTCAGCAGAGCTTTGGTGACTTTTACATGTGATCCGCCTCATCACTTGGACATCCCCCTCTGTAACATCACCTGTGGTAATGGGACTAAAAACACATCAATTCAAAGATTAAGAGCTGTGGCTAAATGCTTTTGCCCACAGAGTGTATAAGGCAAGGACTAGTTCCCAAAGGGAAGCCTGATGGATGTTATATAGATAGCCACAGATGGCATTTCTCCACTTTCCCATGAATAAAGGAGTATTTCTTTTCTTATACTTGTAAACAAGTACAGCTCTTTGCAATAAATTAAACTGATTGACATTTAGCTGACATGTGGCTTTTTGGTAATATATTATAATGTCTTTCTCTCAGCAAAATAATTAATGAAGTAGCTTTTTCTTTTTACCAGTTTCTCCCTCGGGCGATTTTGCTAGCTGAGCTGCTCCCTGTGTGAATTAAATTTTTGGTTTGTAAACCACTTCAAAGTAACTTTCCCAACACTGCCAGGCCAAAGATAAGAAAAATAATAAACGTAACAGATAATGAGAACTGGGAACAGTAGCTTATTTTGAGTTTAGTTTTTAAATGGCTACAGTTGGGGTATATCTAAGCTCCGTGGGGAGCTGATTCCAGCTGTGGGCAGCAGGATGGCTAAAAGCCATTTCACCATGTTTGGTTTGAGTTGACCAATCCCTGCAGACTTGAGAGACCGTGCAGGCTTGTGCTCAGTAAACATATTTGTGATATTTTTTGGACAACACATTGGGACTTAAGGTGAATTCTATATTTAATTGACAAACAGTGCAAGGATACAAGAAACTGGAGTTATGTGTGATCTTGTTGGTGTATCTCTGTTACATTTTGAAGACTGTCTAACATATACTACAGCAGTACACCTGACAAGAAAACAGAGCATGAAGGAGCTTTAATGCATCTCCCTCCTTTTTATTGCCAAACATAATTACTTCTGTCTTCATGTAGTTGAAGGATGTTTTATTGCATTCAGTTGTTTACCTTCTCGTGGTACATTGGTACATGGCACGTTTGTGTGACTAGTCATATGGTGAGATTGAAGCAACCCTGTTGGACTCTATACATCATGGAGACCCCTTCATATTCATCATTATTAATACTAATTCTATACCCTGCTTTTTAAATATGATCTTGACTAACTAAAGAACACTCCTGAAAGCACTTCCCACTACTTCTGTCTATATAGATGTAATTCCTGATGAACAGCATCAGATCCAAAAATAAGATCTAAGTAAAGTGATCTATCTAGGGTGTACCCCTCCTCTCGCCCTATGGTAGCTGGGACCAGCCCCCCCCCAACCACCACCCTGACCCTGAAAAGCATCAGCAGAAGAGAATAGATGGATGTTATAGGCAGATAGTAGTGCAGGCGGATGTGGCTGAGGAGGCAGAACGGGTTTTCTACTCATTGGAGGCTTAGTGGTTCAATCCCCAATTTAATTCTGCATATTGAAGTACTCTTGAATTTGTAAAAACACTTCTTTACTTGTTTTCTGACTCCTGAATGCTGACAGGACTGCAGCTGAAAGTCAAAAACTGTCTTACATTATGTAGAAACACCTTAATTTAAGCAAGATGTTACTATAAAAAGGTTTGGATATTTATATTAAACAATGAGGCAGTGATGCTGATAAGTCTATTAACTTGCATAGGGTGAATTTTACCAGCTTTCCTTTCTGGCTTTAAATGGGCTGCAATTATATCACACTTCTCCGACCCTAATGCGTGAAGCACTAGAGTGTATTAAGAACAGTGCTTTTTAATTCTACAGCGCTTTTAATATTATAGTTTTGTATTCATTGGTAGAATATGTCATTCTGCTGTAACTTTGTCTGTTTGTCACTGGACATGTGCCGCAGATGTTGCCTCTCATATGCGAACAGGCTCATGAAGAACCATTTAGCAGAAAACCTCCCACATTTGAAGAAACACAACCAAAAAAAAAAAAAAAATCATGCTGGTTGTTTTTTTGCATGTTACTTGCTGAGATCTGGGACTTTGTCAAGACAAGAAACAGAAACTGCTATTTCAGATCAGACAGGTTTTTACTCAAACCCTCCGGTTAGCCGAACTATTTGGAAACTAATTTGGAGGAGAAAACAAAGCCAAACTGCAAAACAATTGTCAGTCATCACAGTTTAGTGGGTGACTTTCCCACTCAGCCTTTATACAGTGTATTTGCATAAACTGTGCACTGTTTTTCTGTGTAGCACCATGGTATTCACCTTCCTTTTAGTTAAAAAGGAGGCCCCCTAAAGCACTCAAATAGAGTGGCTCTTGACTTTTTTTTTCTCACCCTGACAAGTTTAGCTTTATAGCAGTGAAGATATTGAAATTGTTATGATGAATGATTGCCCAATTTGTAATAAACTATAATAAATCTTCTCCTTTCCTCTTCTCATTTGTCCTCCAGCTGACCTATCTTGGCCCTCCATTTAATGACAAAGACTTCTCCCCTCCGCGGCCCAACAGCACAGCTCTGACACTGCCGAGTGCTGCCACTCGAGTGGACCAGTGGCACCGCCTGGAGAACAAAGCACGACTGGCCCAGAACCAAAAGGCCTACTCTGTCCTTCTAGGAGCTGTCAGGGAGCTGGCCCGCTCAACCCTCTGCCCCTCACTCAAGACCTCCCTCCTGCACTTCTGCATGGGTCTGGATGGACTTCTGGGTTCAATATCTGCACTGATGACCGCGCTCGGTGACACAAATCCTACACAAACTCCAAACATGAGAGGTAACGCTGGTGAGCTGCAGTATTTGCAGACGGGGACAGGAGGTGGCCGACCAGCTCCGCTCATGAGCCAGAACCTGTACAGATCGAGAGCCGGATCTAGATCGGTGTCTGGTCAGCGTAGTGGCCAAAGAAGAAGTGGGACAAAGTTAGTCAGAGGAGTTAAGGAAGATGGTGTCACTAAGGAGCTGACAGAAAAAAGAAGAGGAAAAGAGGCAAGGAGAGCAGAGGCAGCCAGAGGAAGGAGTAGCGGATCGAGGGAGAGGGCAAGGGGAGAAAGACGGAGAAGAGAGAAGAGGGAAGAGCCAGAGAGAGGAAATTGGGCAGCCAGTGCAAAAAACGCAGCAGGAAAGGAGGAAGAGGAGAGATGGGTGAGGAGGAGAAGGCTGTTAAGTATAGCTGAGGATGGAGAGGAACAGGAGAGGCAGTTCGAACCCGGGTTTGAAGTGTCATATGTGGACACAAAAGGCTTGGGATCTCTTCAACAACAAACAGAAAACCAACAAGGAACCAACGACCATCAATACAGCTACAATCTGAACGCACATCATCCAGACACGCTCAGAGCGGAGGATGGATTCATTCTAGAGGGGAGCAGAAGGTCAGAGGAAGAGGAGGACAAGCAAGCATACGCAGATGCTACCTCCTCTTCCTCCAGTGGATATCTGAAGCAGCGTCGGTCTCCTCGCTCCCTCCTCTCCCCGACTCTCGAACCTCCTCTGTCCACACTCTCCCTCCTCTACCAATTCGGAGCAGGCAAGGAGCACACCCTCCTCCCCCAGCCTGTCCCTCTATCTTTACAAAGGGGCACCTCCCTACTCTCGCCTCCCTTGAATCCGCTCTTCACCTCCTCCTACACCTCCGCCTCCTCTTCCTCCCCCTCATCTTCCCTGCTGCCGGCACGGACGACAATGAACGACTTTACCAGGAAGGTGGAGGGTTTCTGGATACTGCGAGAGCTTCAGAGCTGGCTGTGGCGATCGGCGAAGGACTTTAACTGCCTCAAGAAGAAGCTCCGAGGCTGAGGCACCGATAAGACTTACACGCACGCTCACAAACACACACAGACACACAAAAGTGCAGTATATCGGCAATTATTTGCACAAAATCTGAGTGGAATCAAACCGACGGATTTAACAGACAAAAGCACATAAACACATGCATTCATACCGTACTGGAATAAGTGAATGAAGGACTGTTTGGCAGGTCACCAGAAGTGCTAATGGAATATAAGACACACAAAGCCAACACATTACCAGCACTGTCACCCGCCTAATGCACATAGCTGCTCATTGAGCGAGACACACTGAGGCTGGGCTGAGTTACCGGACTTCACGGCTCATAGATCAACAGAAATACCACTGTAGGTGGTTAGACACACACATGCAGACGAGGGCAGACTGAGTGACAGGCGGTGAGACAGACAGTGCCTCCATTGAGTGAAAACTGATTCAGTGACCCCCAGATGTGTGAATCAGCAAACATTCATTTTCTCTAAAGGAAGAAGGGAAAAATTCTGAATGGGCAAAAGACAAAAGGGGAGGAAAAATGGCCAGAGGGATGATGGGGGCGCAGAGGAGGAGAGAAAGAGGCAGAAAAGGAGAGGAAGCTGAGTCAGTGGGATGACTCTGGAAATAACCAGCAGAGCGGTACTGCTGCGTAATCACAAGTCAACTGGTCAGTTACAGTAACCCTACAAGAGCGCTACACATACTGCCCGGACACATACGCACACGCACGCTAATTATTGTGGTGTTTCCTGCCTTAACACACTATTCACTTTTATCCCGTCAATTCAGCTCTTCACATATTTCACTTCACAGCAAGAGATGTTAATAACATTTGAGACAAAGCAAAGAAATACTTCCACACTACACTGCAGTGGAAAATATACTGTGTTGCTTCCTTACAGGAAGCTTGATGAGAACATCTAAACCACTGTCAGATTTGTACAATAATATGATTCTAGAGCCAGCCTTCAGTCAGCTTTCTTAAGCATAAAAACAGGGTAAAGAAATCTACTAACCTGCAACTCTAAGGCTCACATTTGAATACACATTTTTAATGTCTATTTTTTTAAGCCCAGGTAAATATGTAAAATCACCAAGTTGCAAACCAGCAAAGCCTACAGGTGGTCTCAAAGTCTTGAATAAAATGTTGCATAACTTCAGCATCCATGTAATGCCACAAATTGTAATTTGTATATGTATTTTATATCAAACGAGACTTAATTTAGTGTCAACATTTTGTCCCTGTTCTCAACTTTCATTTATGCTTCTAATGTCTTGTGCCATAGCTATAGCAACTGATTGTGCTTTCTCAAACGCAAACAGAAAAAGACTTAAAAGTGGACCCATTATGCTTGTCTTTATTTTATTTTATTTATTTTCATACATGGATGTCTGTGCAAAAGTCTTGCACCACCCCTTACTTCTTTATATTTTGCTTCCAAGAACGCAGCTTTTGTGATTTTTATAGTGGTCTCAAGCTTCCTGGCTTTTTAAAGGTCTTTCAGATTTTTCCTTTGCACATTGGAGGAAGCTGAAGAAGTGGAGGATAAAAAAGAAGTGGTGGAAAGGCTAAAAACTAGAAGATAAACAGTCATGCCCTTAAGAAATAGATGAAATGAAGCAAAGACCCGACACAGGACCTGAGGGCTGCATCTAAAAAAAACACAACGTGAAACACTATCATGGATTGGCCTCCTCAGAGTCTGGACCTCAACATTACTGAAGCAGCGTGGGATCATCTCGACAGAGAACAGAACAAAAGTCAATCATGAATGTCCTTCAAGAAGCCTGGAGAACTATTACTAAAGACAACTTAAAGAAATGACAAGAAAGCTTGTCAACAGAGTTCAGGCTGTGTTGAAAAACAAGGGCTGTCACACCAAACTAGAAAAGTATATAAAGAAATGAGGGGCGGCTCAAAACCTTTGCACATTACTGTACAGTTTTAGACATTTTTTTCCTGTGATGTCATTGACGGCAGATATTCCTGTTCTGTTCAAACCTTCCATTTGCAAAAAGCATCCAATCAGAAGAAAATGGGCTTAAAGAAGAAAGGAGCTAAAACAGCTGGCTTCAAACTGCAGAGTCCAAATAAAATATGTACTTTTAAATGAGCATAATAGGTCCACTTTTTGAGTATCTGAGCTACAGATACAGGATTTTTTTTTTTCAGAACTGGAGATATGGGCTTGGTTGTGTTTTTGCTACAGATTTCTGGTGACTGATTGTAGTGACAACATCGTGAAGCAAGTTGGAAAACTGCTCTGTAATCTCATTTTCAGTGCCAAAATGATGAACTTTTTTTCCCCTTAAACTTACTTTACATTCCTAAATACCAAAAAAGCAGACGTGGAGGTTAACAGATGGCTTTTTTCCCCCCAGAATAAATGTTATGTGTTTGCAATGTGCCTTAGATGATATGGCTAAAGGTTATGGATCATATCTATACTATTTATTGAACAAGATGTTTATTTATTTTTCTCCAGTGTGAAAATACTGTGTTGTAACTTGAGAGAGAATAAATACTAGCTTTTGTACAGAGCGCGGTGTTATTGGTCATTTGGGAGCCCGTTGGGAGAAGAGAATAAAGAAATGCATATGGGATTTTTGTTTGCAATGGTTTCAGTTTTATAGGGATGGTTTCGGGTGATTGGCACAAGGGGAGAGGAGTTTGGGGTCAGGGCGTTCCCTGAAAAACAAAGGCCGGCTCACATTCGTCGCAAAAAAAAGAAGAAGGAAGGAGTGAGAGAGGCAATGTATGAGAGTTTTTATTTGTCTGTCCGGGTGAAAATTTACGATCGTTTCCCGTTTTGCTTTCATCTCTCTCTTCCCACCTCCTTCTTTGATTTTTCCTTCTCATTACACTATCTCACGAAGCTCGTCTTCCCTCCAGAACAGCCCCTGACCTACGACACTGACTGATTTACATGAGCACAGGTACAAACACTACCCATAATCCAACCAGGGTCTCTTGTTGTGTCTGTGTTTGGCCCGTCTCTGTCACCAACTTTGCCTCTTATGTTTTTTTGGTTTGTTTTGTTTTTTGCATGGCCATTGTCTGCTGCCCACAGTCTTTCAGCCTTTTATCACTTCTTCACCTGTTATCTTCTTTTTTTGTCTTTCTTGTTTGGCCTTATTGCTCTCAACTGCACTTTTTCTTTTCCCATGTATTTTGCTGTTCTGTGCCTCCCCTCAGGCCAGATATTAAAGGATCAATGAGAATCTCCCTTCCATCACCTCCAAGGTACACACCTGCACGTAACCGCACACTCCCCTCCCTGACACACACACATGCACGCACACAGTCACAAACACCCAAACGTGGACGAAAGTGCTGGCAAACAAGCGCACGCATGAGCCTCAAATCCAGAATTAGCTCACTAGGAAGTGACTTATATGGGAGGCTTACTGTGTCAACGCTGATGCATCATCGTCACGCACGCACTAAGAACTCTCGCTAAGAGCTGTAAAGGGTTAAAAGGCATGACACATATGTGTACACACACACATAAACACAAGGCGCCGTGTGTTTTTTTACAGTCAGTAAGCAGTGACCGAGCGGCTGCCAGCAGTCGACAAAGGCAGCTTTGTGGGGCCTATAAGTGTGTGCGTTTATCTGTGTGTGTGTGTGTGTGTGTGTGTGTGTGTGTGTGCCCCTGTGTGGGCTTGCAAGTGCAGCACGTGTGTGAATCATTATCTCTATGTGTCAGAACTTCGCTGGAATGAGGCTTGTCATGCATAGCTATCTAACAGCCATCACTCACTATCGTCTCTCTCTTTCTCTTTTCGCCGCTCTCTGCCTGTCAGCGATGCAGAGACAAATTGCTGTAACTAATACATAACAGGATAGCCGAGCCCTGTTAGTATGACTCAGTTGGCAGGTCCTTCGACGTGAACAGATACTGAGTGACAAGGCATCGACATTATTGGCTTGTTTCATCTATCAGGCAGTTACTGCTCACACAGGCCTGTCTGTGTGACTGACAGAGCTGTGATCTAATACAGTGGAGGAGCTCAATTTTGGGCCATCTTGTTGAAGAAGAAGTTGTTTTTATTTCCTCTTGGAGAGCTCTCCTTTTCTTTTCTTTTTGTTTGGTTTTCTGGTTTCATTGCTCCCTTTACTCCTTTGCACTCCAAGGAAAACCAAGCTTTTCCTCTCCTTTATCTCCGTTTTGAGTTCAAACGCCCCTGGTGGCTCGTATTTTTTTTCCCAGCCATTTACCATTTAGAGGGATTATCCGTGTATATAAGTTTGGAAATATCAATATCAATTTTCTCCCTCAAAGAATAGCAGGGTAATAGTAAAAGTCAAAACTCAAGCTTGTTTTGGCTCGGGGCCTTCATCAGGGTCACATGTTGACAAGCCAAGACACAATGATAGAGCAATAAAGTTGCTTCACCCACTCTATGAAGTGGGTGAAGCTGTGCCAGATTCCACTTCTCTGTAATAGCACTTTTTAAGTTCATTTGAAATATAACTAAAGGTACGTAACAAAAAGATCAATGAACAACTGAGATCTGAAATATAAGACAAAATGTGTAAGTCATATGAAGAATCTCAGTTATCCAACTGGGTGGGAACATAGGGGCAGGGTGTGAAATTCATTGTTGTTTTTGGGACACATGCAGCTTAGTTTGATTTTTAATGGCCAAACCACTGAAATCAAAAATACATTTATCCCCCCTCCATTGTTTTGCTTTTATTTATTTGCTTTTACTGTAAAGAAGTTTAGGTACAGCTTCAAAAAATTCACGTTTAATTTAAACCCTTTATAAAACTGACTCTGAACAACTTAAGTTGTCTCATGGCTCAGTCACACTGCATTAAAAATAGGAAAGCAACCTCTTTGTGACTAGAAAGACATCTGGTTGTCGTCCCAGTTATTGTATTGATTTTTTCATATTTGTTAGACCAACTTTCAATCAGAAGACCATTGCATGGGTCACCTGGCGGGAAGACAAATTGCCATTTTATTGCTGTCCTCAAACTTGCTTCAAGGACAGCAACCGCCTGTGACTGGTTGCAGACCTGGTCCCTACCTTGGAAGCAACCATTTCAAAAGCAAGAAGACCTCCTAGCTGTTGCTGTAGTTGCTGGTTGATTGCCAGGGTAACACATAGTTTCTCTGTTTCTGGTTTGTGTTGCAATTTTCAAAATTTTGCTACTACTTGGAGAATACTTAGCGAGTGCAGATAAGTTGTTGTTTTCCAAACTACGGACTACTGAAGACAATTGCCAGTGTAGTATTGCAGACCTCTTTGTGACTAATTTTTCCGTGTGATTACCAGTCAGCGAATACACATTTTTCCCCAGTGACTGGTGGTCACGGGCGGGTTGCTGATCAGTCTTTAGGCCTGCGCAGTGTTGGGGAGTAACGGAATACATGTACCGCCGTTACGTATTTAAAATACAAAATATGAGTAACTGTATTCCGTTACAGTTACCGTTTAAAACGGTGGTATTCAGAATACAGTTACTTTGTTGAAATAATGCTGTTATTCCAGGCGGGGCGGCAGCGTTATGGTTGTCATGGTTGTCATGGTTACAGGGTGACCTGCTCTCTCTGCGACTGTGTGTTTCCTGGGTGACAGAGGCCTTTTTGTTGTTGTTGTTGTGCTAAGCTAATAGGCAGAATGCTACAGCCATAGCCCTAAAGAATTTAGCCTCATGGGCAGTGTAGTCCATGTTGCAGGGAGAATGCACTGCCATACTCGTTATGTGTCTGTGAGCGCGAGGAGGAAGAAAAAGGAGAGTAGAAAAGTACGAGCTGTCATTGAGCAGAAACGGGAGCTGGAAGCATGTAAATATAATAATAACTACTGCAGCCAAAAAGAGTGCCTGACGAGCCCAGTTGTAAGTAAGCTATTAAGACTCGACTGTACACTGTGTTCGTGTTTTCCTCCGAAACAATAAGTTCCGTTGGAGCAGCCTTTCAAAGCCTCTCTCTGTCTCTCGCTAGCAAAGTTGACCCAGACAACAAAGTAAAGCTAGTTTTCAGCTACGAGCCCGACGCGAACCCGACGTATTAGCCAGAGGTCCTTTACTGCGTTCAGAGCCGCAGACCTCCCGTAATAGTAATAAATCACACAGCAATAGTACATTCATGTAGTTGTAAAATAATATATTAAGTAATCCAAAGTATTCAGAATACGTTACTCTCATTGAGTAACGTAACGGAATACATTACAAAATACATTACTTTACTTTACATTACTCCTTACTTTGCAGTAGTATACCAGACAATATATAAAGAAAGAAAGGAGTGGGAAACAGTTTTTTTCTTTAAGGGCGACCGTCAATAATTTCTGGTGAAACATGCAGCCCAGGATTTATGTCTTTCTTTGTCATTTTTTGCAAAGTCATCCAGTCGGCCATCTTTGGGAGTCCGATTCAGGCTCCCAGGCCACATGCTTGAAATCCCAGCTTAATGCAGAGTTAAACAGTTTCATTTGAAAATAACCTCCCTGCCGATGTGTGCCAAAGAAACGGGACTGCAGCAAAACAATGCAGGGTCACCCCAGAGGAGAAAAAAAGGTTGGATCAGGTCCAACTGCTGAGGTAAATAACGATGACGTCATCCACTAGTGTGTTCATTCAAATCTAGGTAACCGCACATCCTGAAAGATTACATTGTAACAAGAACAGCATATTTATGTTGTTTACCTTCATTTTGACAAAAGACTAAACATTTGTTGATTGGATACATTTTTCCAAAATCCTGCCAGTGAGGATTACACAGCGTTAAGCCTGTAAACACATAAATTTTTCACTAAGGCCCGATTCCCACGAACACGTTTCAAATTCTTTGAAGAACTTTGCCATTTGCAGTGTTTATTTTTTCCATTGTTATCTTACTGTAATACATATAATCTCTGTCTGTCTGGGTGTTTCTTTGTTTCTTTGTCTGTGAACTCCTACACAATCAGGAGTTGAGCAACCAAACTTGACGCACAGGTACATCTTAGTCCCCTGAAGGTACTTATCTATATCAGATTTTATGATGTCATCTTGTTGCCTAGCAACCACTTAGCAAGCCTAAAATGACGAGTTTAACTTATATGCACTTATAAAAAGTTATTGAAACTTTTATTTAATGTCAGAGACAACAGAAGCCACCCTGCAATGGACCTATTTTTAGTCTTTATACGTGTGACTTTATTATTTTTAGGATCAGAATCGTGAAAGAAAATTGTCAAAGGATCTTTGCAGCAGTAAAAATACTCCTAAGATCTTCCTCAAAAATAAATCTGTCACATCTTTTGTTTAGGACAATAATACTTTAAATGGTGATAAATGCAGTCCTGGTTACTTCCTGAGTGCTTGGATGTAGAAGAGAGTGCAATTCCTCTTTGCCCTTAAGAGGTGAGGTTCCTCTGTGGACATGCTAGATCCAAATGTGTGTGTGTGGTGTGTCAAATTCAAAATACATTACTGGCATCAGAAAGTCACTTGTGGTGGTTTGAATGTTGTAAAATACAACCAGAGTACATCCTCCTCTCCAAGATATTACTAGCTAATCGTAAACCATCAACAGTG